ATAGTTTGTGTCCTGTAGATACAAAAGTCACCTTCACATTTATTTTTTCCTAAGTATTAATTATCCACATAATGGGATTTTCAATTCGGGCCGTTCACATTCTCTCTTCTTCTTTGGAGTTCGTTCTCATGGAGCGTGATCGCGCGATCCAATATCCTCTCAAGAGAGGTTAGCCGTTGAGCAATACTCCTGCACAACAATTGCGCAGTGCGGATCTGCCGTGTAAGCTGTTGGAGACGTCTGAAGAGAGCGTCCTTTCCCTTATTGCGCTCCTGACGATTCATTTTGAAAGTGGGAAATTTTCTGCAGGCTATAAATATAGTAATAAGAGAATATTATTTATGGTCATTATTCGGTAAGGAATAGTGTATGATCGATTCATACCGCGAAATAATAACGTAATATGGGCTTCAACCCTCATGACTCATTTGATGCACCGTTTCTCATAGCCTTTTATTACTATTTATTATATTTTTTCCTTTAAAGAAGTACACTAGTTCTCGTCTCCTTGAAAACGATCTCTGTATTCGTAGTGTTCCTCGTGGGCTCTGGTCACAGTGGCGTACGTCCTTTGTTCGCATCGTGTGATTCTTCTTTCTAAGTCGTAGAAGACGATTCATGATTTCTGCCATTGCATCCAGTTGTGCTTGGATGGTCGCGAGGAGGCGCTCGTACTCCTCGCGGGTTAGAAACACTACGTTCTCGCGTTCCATATCTAAAGAGTGAGGAGTTAATTATCAGGTGGTAAGGTAGTGTATTATAACATATATTATTAACGTGAATGAGTATGACTCTATTACACAACGCAATGGCTACGCTTCTCATGGATGTTTTCTTAATGCATTTGCCGAGGATGTAATCTTAACTTATAATGAAATGGATTGATGCGGTTTGCTATGTTCGCGAGTGTACCCTTACCCTTATATTCTACCCTTATATTAGGTGTAATAAAACAGATCGAAGCGCCTCTTCATCGAACTATGTAACATGTAAAGTTTCAGTGTAAGGTGAAGATAGTTCATAAAGTTAGTTTATTGGTCAAACAGTCTACAATGATAACTACATACCGTCTTAAAGAATATTGCACTACAAAGGAAAGTAGTGTTCAAATGATATAACCAAAAGCGTAGTACACATCATGAATTACTATGCCTACTGCTGGTTTGTATTCTATAGGCGAAAAACTTCGCATTGAAGTGATAGCTTCACGTCCGTTGTTAGTCGTACAAGACACCCACACGCGATGTGGACATCAAGGCACAAACGGAATATTAGATAATCTACGCCTCAGGTATTGGATACCACAAGGCAGACAAGTAGTAAGAAAGTGCCTTCGGAGTTGCTTGAAATGAAAACGATGGAACGGGAAACCTTACTACTACCCTGCTTCACCACCACTACCAACTGCGAGAACACAGCCAACACGACCCTTTTCTCATATTGGCATCGACCTTGCAGGTCCCTTTCCGGTCCTCGACTCCAACAAAGAAAGAGAAAAACGGTGGATTTTCCTCGCTACTTGCATGGCTACTCGTGCGGTATAAAAAGGTTCGGTGGTTCGTCAGTTCTGCTCACGATAGGAGGTCCACCAACACCAACAGGCGCACAACAAGTTTATTCACCACACCTCAAACTTGGGTAATTAAACTGGTGCAGAAATAGTAAAATAATCGAGAAAGACACACACGATAAGGCATTCTTATCAATCGCATAGTAATCCCAGCACTATAGTCAAACAAGAGATAATCTTCCCAATTAGAGATACAAAGAAAAAAGGCAAGGCACATGAGCGCATCATCAATCCTAGAAGAAACTTGAGCAAATACCAACGTATTTATTCATTTATTCTGCGTCGGCGTTTGACTTCGCTAGATGCGCACCAGATAAGCGTTGGAAGCTAAAGTAAAGCCTTTATCAGATCAAGAAAAAGTCACAACATCATTCCTCTCTTACATGACAGTAAAATCGATCAAAGAGATCGCGGTACATCCGCGATACGGTACATTTAGAAGTCGTTAACAATTTGAGCGCTTTGCAAATAGTAAATGCGTTACGACGCTTTATTTCCCGTCGAGGAAAACCACAACTCATAATATCCGACAACGCAACGATTTTAAACTCGGTAATGACATCATCACTACGATAGACCACGAGTTGATATCCCTCTACGATCACCAGATACAAGACCATGTACTACGAACCTTTTTAACAAATGAAGCGATCCAATGGAAATTTATCACTCCTCTTTCTCCATGGAAAGGCGGATTCTATGAACGCCTCATAGGCATTATGAAATTAACCCTTAAAAAAGTGATGACTCGCAAATTGTGCCCTGAAACAGACTTTGTCACTATGTGACAGAGTGTGAAGCGATGGTCAATTCACGATCGCTGGCTTACGCTGGTAGCACAATCGAGGACTCACTCATCATACGACCAATCGACTTCCTCATCCCCTACACCAACATCACACCATTCCTTTGTCATAGAATAGATTCTGAAACGATGACTTAGACTACGTACTTCAACTTTCAACAAAAACACAAGCCATTGACTACTTTCGTAAACAGCTCCATATCCTCAAACGACTATGGAATACATGGCATTCCAACTACCTTCTCGAACTACGCAATTTCCATCAGCATCGCATTAAACAAAAAAGTTTTACTCGACAACTTCCACATCTTGGGGAAGTAGTACTCGTAATGGACGAGGACTTGCCTCGAACAGATTGGCCTCTCGGAATTGTCACCAAGCTCATACCCGACCAAGATGGCACTATCAGGTCCGCTACACTACGTACGACACGTTCAGAATTGGAACGATCAATTAATATGCTGATACCGCTTGAGTTAGATAATGACAGCCCTCCCGAACCATTACACCACACCACGCCTACAGAAACAAACTCAGCTGACACGAACGCTGCAATTGACATTGCACCAGACGATACCATAATCCCTACAGCCCATGCTACCGCGTCGAGCGAAACTAAATAAAAACTACGGTAGCTACTGCACGACAACCGGTTTTGATGATTCATCGTTCGCCTACGATTCACATAATACATGGCATCTCTGGAAACCTTGGCTCACATTGACACTCGCACTAACAATTTTTCGACCGATATACTCCTTACCCTCAACAGAACCCTATTTCCACTGTATCACTGGAGGAATTCACATACAATTGCCACGAGAAGTCGATCAACTTCAAGTTTGTGGAAATGACTATTGCATACAAATAATCCAACCTGACCAAGATTTAAATGTTCAATTTCCCCCAGAAATTACTCTTCACAGTTACCACATTACATTGAAATCCATCTCACAAAATGCTACACAGGCTTCTCATTGGGCATGCCCACCAAGCCCATTTTGCGAGCAAATCAGCTGCAACTTCTGCAGCCAAATGGTTTCAAACCCGGAATGTTGGCCACGTATTGCGATCGCCGTTACGGCAACTCTTCTTTATATCATAATGGTTACCGCCTATATCACCTTCAGGACTCTGGGAAAAGTCTTAAGACTATGCGCACATACTGGGACGCCGCTTGACCTCCTTTCCCGTCAACACTACGAACTTGGACACGCAGAATCAACATGCGTCGATACTCAGACGATGCCACCACCCTTCTGGAACTCGGTAAAGTAGACGCCAAATGGAAATCAACAACGCTGGTGAGACTTATCACTATCTTTGCAATTTTCCAGTCCGTTTGTTACGTGCTGTCAACAGACACTACTCATACCAACATCAGTAACACAATGCGACCATTCCAAATCAAACTGCTCTAACCATACCACATTAATTGCTCAGCTTAACCCTATGCAACCTGAACTATGCATTCAACTCCAGCACGGAGATCAGCAGCTGCACTTCATGCGCATCTCCTTAGGTCCCTTTAAATCTTAGATGTCGCAAGGAAACACTATACTTCACAAGAAACACCATTACGAAAGTTCAATACCAAAAACGATGTCCTCACATGGGCACGTGCACAGGCCTAAAATGCGCTAAAATTACCTTTAATTCACTAGTCGAGGAATTACTCGATGCTAATAATTATACGGGCATAACATACTGCTCTGAATCCTGTGGCGGTTTAGGCTGCTCTTGCGGCTATCCGTCATCAGGATGTCTTTTTTACAGAATCTACCATGTTCCCGTAGATGATAACATTTACGAAGTTTTTCAGTGTCCATCATGGTTCGAAACAATTTCGTTTCAGGTTGAGTTTCACACACCCAAGCTTAAGGCATACACCTTTGAATTGAAACCCTATACTACTAAACAAATCGCTAACGTCTCATTTGAAATTACTTCATTCACATTTACACCAATCTCACTACTCAACCAACGATTCTTCACAAACAATAACTCAACAGCCTACGTACCACCAGATACGGAATTCAGTTACGCGTGCAGTTCAGATCCACGTCATAATGACACGATCCATGACCAGACCAACTGTATAATTAAAGACACATGCAACTGCAATCCTGCAGAAGACTCTGTCAACTGCTATTGTACCAATAACAATGTCTCACGCATAACACAATTGCAGAATACATTTCCCTTGCAATACCGCAAGGACTCATATCCACACAAGGACACAATAACATACCTACTATTACTACACGAGCAGTATCCGTACAATTAATGATTACATTCAATCACACCATAAAAGAAATCACGCAAGAAATCCAAAATTTTCAGTGTAGCATACTACCCCAACGACTATTCGGATGTTATAACTGTGTCAAGGGTTCAGTAGCAACGCTCTTCTGTAAGTCAGATTCAATTCACGCAACTGCTCAAATCAGCTGCGGACTCCAACAATTTATTTTGACTTGTACAAAACAAGGAACGTATAATCATATACTTTTATTCTTCAATAAGGCTCGCATCCAGGAAACATGTAGAGCGCAATGCGGAAAATACACTACAATTTTCGAGCTAAGAGGAACACTCAACTACGTAACGGATTCAAGCCATTATGGCACTACATCCACTCATGGACAAGAAATACTTCCACTAATACTTCCTTCAATATCGAATTTGCATTCCCCGACATATC